CCTGGGGTCGGCTTTGGTTGCCAGTAAGCTGCCCATCAAAAGACGACCGCTGAACATGCTCAGGCTGGGGTGTTACGTATGTGTTGGAAGGGCGGGTGGGAGTGAGCAAGACGGCTTGCGGGCGGGTGGGAAGCTTGATCCCTCCCTCTATAACCCCCCCCCCTGGACATGGACGGGACCAGTCACGAGCGGTCAGGGCGTCCAAAACGGCCTCGGCGAGGAAGCCCAAATCATCGGTTTTACTGTGGTTTGGGCACCATTTCGGCCTCTGGGGGGGCAGCCCTCCCCTCTTGTTTGATCCATGTCCTCCAAGATGGCCCCAAGAGCGCTTCCAATGCTCCCAAGAGCGCTTCAAGAGGGCCCTAGAGGCGCCCAGGAGGCGCCAGGAGGCCCCAAGAGGCGCCCAAGAGGCCTCCAAGAGGCTCCCAAGAGACCCCTAAGAGGCCCCAAGAAGCTCGCCGAAGCACCCAAGATGCTCCAAGAGGCCTGCGAGACCGCCAAGAAGCCCCCAAGACGCTCCAAGAGGCCTCCACTGGGGGACCCTTCCTCTGCGTGCTGCCCACCTCCCTAATCGAGGCAACTCCTCTGGGCATCGTTTCTGGATGGGCTGGTGGGGTTACTTTTTAATCGCGACCGCGGCGAAGAAAGGTCGGGCGGCGTCCAGGTCTGGTGGGGTTACGCGAAGCGTCTAGAATATCGGAATTGCATCGGAGCGATCGGGCCGAAATCGGTGATGAATCGGATCGATCGACCCTAAGTGGATCACAAGGGGGTTAACCTTCAGAGCCACACTTGTTCCACAGAAAAGGTCGCCCCGAAGATAACGTCAATTGATAAACCAACCGTCTTAGATTACACAACGTGGCTCTTCCTCAACGCAGTCAATCAACAAACATGTTTCTGTGGACTACCCAAATCGAACCTTCCCGAAAACCCTCTGGCCTGGGATGTGTCAATTGACAAATGGGACGACGGGTCGACCCGTGCGTATTCCCCTGGGGCGCGCGGCGGTTCGCAACGGGGCGTGTGTGACTCTCACAAGAAAACCTGTTACCAAAGATTCCCGCCGCATTCCGGCCAACGATACACTGGTCCGACCAAACGGTGGGCGGGGGCGGACCCCAACGTTTCCCTGCTATCGCTTCCACGGCATGGGCAGGGCGGATTGGGAAAATGCTACCCCCGTTCGCCCCGAAAACAACTGCGAGGGCCCGCTGTAGCCCACGACGATGATGGCAAGAAATGCTGACGCCGCCACAGACTGTGTAAGAAAGAACTAATCGCTTCACTGTGAAACAGCCAAGGGGTGACACGCGTCCACCCGAAAACGGTACAAGACGAGCCCATAACTTCGCTCGCATTCTGGGCGCCAACATGGGGTCATAAAATATGGACAAGCACAAGGTTTACACGTGTCACTCCGGAAGTTGTGGGCCAGAAACTGGCTGCATCACAAGTGCTCTGGGCGTCCACATGGGACCAGATAGCGTGAATAAGCACAAGGGTCACACGTGTCACCCAGAACATGGTATGAGAGAAACCAATCGTGTCACTTACAACCTGGGTGTCAACATGGAACAAAACAACAGCGAAACGTGTCACACCGAAACGGTGAGAACAACCTTTTTGTGTCACTTGTACGTTGGGCGCCAACAAAGGGCTCTATGATGTACAGGAAGCAAAGGGTGACGCGTGTTACCTCGGAAATTGTGCGATAAAAACAAACTGTTTCACGGGCGTTCTGGGCGTCAACATGGGGTCTTCCAGTGCGATCAAGCACAGGGGTCACACGTGTCACCCCGAAAATGGCGCGAGAGAAACCAATGGTTTCACTTACAACCTGGGCGTCAACATGGGGTGACACAATAAAACATTACACATATGACGTATCACACCGAAAACGGTGGGCGGTGGGAGATGAACCCTTTCGTGCCACTTGTACGTTCGGCGGTAACACGGGGGGACCCAATGTGAAGAAAACAGAGGGTGGCACATGTCACAAATCGGTGTGAGAAACATACACTGTTTCACTTGTATTCTGGGCGTTCGCATGTGGTCGTACTGTGTACACGGACACAAGGGTTACACGTGTTACCCCGAAAACTGTGAGAGCGATTGCAATCGTATCACTGTTGCCTGGGCGTCTACATCGGGTCATGCAACGTGAACAAGCACAGGGGTCACACGCCTCACACCGAAAGTTGCGCGAGAGACATCAATCGTTTCACTTTCACTCTGGGCGTCGACATGGGGTCACACAATGTGGGTAAACTGCGGAGATGACTGGTGCCACCCCGATTACTGTGTTAGAAAAGCTTCGTGTTTCACTGATTGGTTGGGCGACAATATGGGGTGATACAGTGTGAAGAAAATAGAGGGTGACACTTGTCGCTCCAGAATCTGTGTGAAAACAACCAACTGTTTCACTTGTGTCCGGGCGTCAACATAATATCATACAGCGTTACAAAACAACACAAACAAGGGTCACGCGCGCCGCCGCAAACGCTGTGAGGGAAAGCACTTGTTTACTTGTGTGCTGGACGTCAGCATGGGGTCATGCAGCGTGAACAAGCACAAGCGTCACAATAACGCAACACAGCAGTGATACGTGTCACCCCGAACGCTGTCTGATGAAACCAATTGTTTCACGTGTGCTCTGAACGTCAACATGGACTTGCACAACAAAGAGAGCCACAAGGGTGACACGTGCCACCTCGAAAACTGCGTGGGGAAAGCCAACAGTTTCAATTGTATCCTGGGCGCCAACATGGGATCACACTATGTGGAACGCACAAGAAAGGCACGTGTCACCCTGGGCACTGCGAGATATTGAATACAGGTGTTACTAGTAAGCTAGGCGTCAACAAAAGGCCATACGGTGTGAACGGGCACAGCGGACACACGTGTCACCCTGAAACGGCGTGAACACTACCAATTTTTGCGTTTGCGTTTTGATCGTCAATATGCGGTTATACAAGGTACTGAGGCACAAAAATACGTACCATGTTTCACCCCGGAAACTTTGTGAAAACTTGTGTCACCTGAAAGCTGAATAATGATAACAATTCGCTTCATTTGCATTGTCAACATGGGGTTCGACAATGTGAACAAACACAAATGTGATACGCGTCAATCCGTAAACCGTGTGAGAATCCTCGCTTCACTTGTATTCTAGGCGTCAACATGGGGTGATACATGTGGAAAACACAGGGGTGACATGTGCCATCCTGAACAATGGATTCTAGAAACACCATCTGGTTCTATTCGCATTCTGGACGTCTACATGGGGTTTCGCAGCGTGAACAAGCAGGGGTTACACGTGTCACCTCGCAAACTCTGCCAGGCAAAGGAGGTCCGCTTGTATGCTGGGAGTCGACATGGGGCCATGCAGCGTGAACGCGCACATAAGTGACACGCGTCAACCGAACATTGCGTGAAATTGGCCAATCGTTTCACTTGTAAGCTGGGCATCATCATGGGGTCATACAGTGTGAAGAAAAACACAAAGGTGACACTGAATGAGAACATTCAACTGCTTTCCTTGCAGTCTGGAAACCTACACGGGTTAATACAGTTTAGACTGGGCCCAGGGCAAACACGTGGCACCCCGAAAGCTGTGCGAGAAAAACCAAGTGTTCCACTTGTTTTCTGAGCGTCCACATGTCACATGGTACAGTGTAGGAAAACACAGGGATGACACGTGAGGACACATCCTTTTCCGATTTCTTTTCTGAGCGTCCACATGAGCCCACACATACTAGGAAACCACCGGGGTGACACGTTTTGCCTCAAACGTCGCGTAACACAACTGCAATTGTGGCACTGGTATTCTGAGCGGGTAACACGTGCCAGCGCAGAACAGCGCGCACTGCTGTGCCTGGGATGCCTGCGTGCGCCACAGGTGCTGCAGCAGCAATTGTGTGCGCCACAGCGCCTGCATGCATCACAATGACTCTGCACGCCGTATCCAGGCCTGCGTGCACTTCTGCATGTGTGCACCACAATACCTGTGCGCAGAACTTCCAGTGTACACCCCAGCGGCGTTACCAGCGGAGACGTGAACGACCACGAGTGATGACGACCACGTGGGCCCAGTGGCCATCGATTCCGCAAGCTTGCTGGCCTGGCAGGCGTGGTAGGATCGTATATTCTTCCCAGTGGCCGCGGCAACTTTCTCCGTTTGTGTGTGTGTGTGTGTCTGTACCGAAACGCATCCCCGCGGGGAGCGCGGCCCAAACGGTGGGAGGGTCTGATCAATTCAAAGCGGGTTTCTACCGGAGGGGGCCGAAGGGGAGTGGGGGGATGCGTATCTAGTTGCCCCCCCTCCCTGAGTCCTACTTGGTGAGGTTTGACGCGCAAGGGGGGGTGAGGGGAGGAAGGCAGGAGGGGGCGGGATCGGCCCGCCGAGGGGGCGCGGCCGTGGCAGCAGCAGCAGCAAGACACGCCGCGACCCTTGAGACCGAGCCTCTCTACCTGCGAGGGCGGGCCCGCCTCTCTGGGCGGGGAACTGAAGTTTTAATCGGGTCCCCCGAGGGCCAAACCTTGGCCGAAGCATTCGGGGCTTGGCAATTTGAAAGCCTACGCAACACCTCCCTTGCACTGTCTGAAGCCGGATCCCATGGGCAAGAGACTGAGAGTTGGTGGAGCCTCCCCCCCTGTGATCGTGCAACTATCCAAACGAGCATACTTCGTACACCACAACTGACCACTCAATACTTTGAGCGAATGGGGAATGGGACTGGTGCACCTTCTTGCCACCGATTCGGAGGGAGAGGTAGGTCAGGTAGGAGGGGGCTACTTGGAGGAAGAGAAGGAACGGCGAGGAGATGGAAAGAGGATGAAGCGGCACGAGATGCCTTACTGTAGAGTTGGGAGGGGGGGAATCGTGGGCAGGGGGAGGGAGAACGCATGGGGCTGAGAGAAAGGGAAAAGGGAGAGGAACGGAGAAGGGAAATACAAGGACAAGGATACGATAAGATCAAATCCACACCCCTGCGCTCCGGTGTAACCGTCAGCGCGTTCGCAAAACCGAAATTCAAGTCGATCATCGCTCTCCTCCATTCCCGCAGGCTGGCGCCGGGTCGAGAGCATCCCTCGCTCGCCCCCCCATGACACGCCTCATCCTCGTCTTGGCGGCGCGCGCCAAGGGGTAGAGTGAGGGGCGGGAAACTTCCGAGAAGGAGGCTGCTTCTTTGAGGGCTCCCGCCTTACATCTGTAGACAATGCCTGGGCCTTCTGAGAAGCAGGGGTACTTCAAAAAAGCCTTCCCCCCTCCCCCTACCCCCCCTCCGCGCGTGGCCGATCGTCGTCGTTCTCCTCCCCCTCCGTCTCCTGCTGCTCCCTACCCTCCGCCATCTCCTCTTCCGCCTGTCTCCGTCCCTCCTCCCCTCTTCTGCTTCCTCGAGTGAATGCGATGCGCTCCAGGGCAGCCCTAGCGAGTCATTGCGGTGGACGCTCCCATCACTGGGCGCAGTCCTGACAACTGCTTTTCATCGCTTCGGAAATTCTTTTCCACATGTCTCTCTCTCTCTCTCCATTTCTGAAGACACCCCTGTGTTGACATTGCTTGGCAAAGAGGCTCCGGGTCGCAAGCCGAACGAGTGACTGTTCCGAGAGCAGCGGTGTCGCGACATCATCAGTGGCCGGAAACTGGATAGCACACCATGAAGCTCCTCGGCCAGTGTTTTGAGGGCAACATATTCGCCACCGTGCCCAAAGATAATAGTTGGAGTGTGAGCAGGTCTTTGGCCGAATCCCTGAAGCCTGAATCCTCAATCCTGCGGATTCGCATTCTAAAATCATTCTACAGTCTAAGAGGGCCACATCTAAAATTGTGAGGATTCACATTCTAAAATCATTCTACATCCTACATTCCGGAGGATTCACATCCTAAGTGGCCCGGATGCCACATTCTAAAATCACCTGGGACTTCTCGCGTGCCCTCCGGGCCCTGGAACGTCCTGTCGCATGGCTTCTTCGGGCCCAGGAGAGCCCCAAGGCGGGCCAAGAGCGCCCCCCAGGGCCCCCAAGACGGTCCGAGATGGCTTCGCATGGCCGAACAATCCGTCCGACACCCAAGATGGCCTCAAGACTGCTGAAGAGGCGCCCAAGACGCCGCAAGAGAGGCCCAAGAGGATTGCCAAGAGTCCTAAGATGAACATCGCCCAACTCCTAAGGGAAGGACAATGTTTAGTATATGCGGCTTTTCGGCCTCATGGCGTTCAAGACGGCCCGAGAAGCCCCCAAGATCGCCTCAAGGCGGCCCAGCATGCCCCCAACCCCAGACGGCCAAGAGAGCCCCAAGACGGCCCCACGTGGGGTCCAAGAGGGGGAGCCTGAACCGACAATTCGAGCTTTCCGCCCCAAGATGCCCACGGGAGGCCCGAAGGGGCCGCCAAGGGGCCCTAAGAGGCCCGAAGAGGCCCCAACACGGCAACTGAGAGGCATCACGCCTGTCTGCAAGAGGCGCCCGCAAGGCCTCCCACGACATCCCAACGAGCATCCAAGAGACCTATGACCCACACACCAGGCACGGTGGCGGGATGGGCAGGAGGCCATTGATGTGCTTACCGCCTTTTGCTCTTTCCTGATCCTCCTACCTCCATCCCGCCGTCCTCCTCCCCTCCTTTCCCTTGGTCCTCCCTGTCCCCCATACCAGCAGTGCCGCATGCTCGAACGGATGGGCCACCGTACCTTGCAGCGGCGAGCGTGGCTGGGGCCCTTTGCTCCTCGAGCCCCAAAGGACAAAGAGAAACCTCAAGAGATCCACAAAGGGCTCCCACGACTGGGCCTTTCGGGCTACATCTGAGCAGCGTACATTGAAGGTTGCCGCCAAGTGCCTGAAGCATAACGTCGAGAGGCCCCGCAAGGCTCTTAAAGTCATCGAAACGAAGGCACAAGAGGGCCTCACCACAGTTCCTAGTAGGGTCCCGCGCGAGAGCTCCAAGATGGTTACAAAACGCTTCCTAGAGGTTCCCCAATCTCCCCCACGTGGCAAGCCTTGAGGACTGTTCGGGATGCTCTCTCTCTCTCTCTCATGGTTTGCCGTGTCCCCGCGCTTTGCCTCACCACTGGCCTTCCACTCCCCCTCTCACGACACGACAGCTCGCCTGACAGTCGCTTCACAATGCGCTCATGGGGATGCGCGACACGTCATCCGACCACTGTCGGCCAACTTTGCCTGCCACTCAAACTGTCGCTTCCCGTGCCCTCCAGTAAGTGAACGGAGCGCCGATGAGGAAGAAACACGCCTCCACACGCTGCAGCTCCATTCCAACAATGATCCGTTGCCGCGGGCTTCGAGGCCGGCGAAATGGAAAGGGCGCGGCGTTTCAGGAAGAACGGCCAGGACAGCAATGCGGCGGCGGACAAGTGGCTGAACTTGTGATCCAAACAGAACGCGGGTCGTGTTGAAGTGATGCATTGTCAGAGCGTCTGTTCGTGTGAGTGCTGCCCTGATTGAATCTCTAATGTCCCACACGAAGTTAGAGTGGTGCACGCAATGTGCCGTGCGCTCGCAAGACAAGATGTCGCTCCGTCTCTGCGAACGGCATGCAATTCGAGGCCCGACGCAACCGCTTGCCTCCCTGCGGTATTGCCAACTCGCCGGACCTGGCGAAGGCGGCCACAGTCGCTGAGCACACGCATCACGAATGCCCTAGCGCAGGCAGAGGAGTGATCGTCTCGCCCGCTCGTCTGTGATCATCGTGCAACAACGCTTTCCTCCACGCCACATGAACACACGATCATCATTCCTCCGCAGAGTATGCATTATCTGGCAATTCAGTTCGCTTCGAGTGCAGGTCAATCCGCCACCGTGGCGCGAGGCACTGAATGGAGTGCCCTCAGGCTCCTTCTCGCTCTCAATGTTGAATATAAAGAATTTCAAGATGTCCCAGAAGACCCTCCTGGAACTCTGTTGGAGGCCTCCGTGGGTGCCACGTTGGCCCAAAGCTCCAAAGGTGCCGTTCGCACGCGACCCCGCCACCAATTTCGGCACACGCCTCACACGTTTCGTGGCCCCACAAGGACCTCTACCTGAGGCCCCAATGGTGCCGTTCGCATGCGTCCCCGCCACCACTTTTGGCACACCCCTCACGCGTTTCGTGGCCCCACAGGGGAGCTCCACCTTAGGCCCCAGTGGCAGCTGCCGCATGCGTGTTCCCAACCCAGTGCAGCATTCCGTGGCCCCATGGGGAGCGCCACCGAAGGCCCCAGTGGCCGCGGCCGCACGCGCACCTCCCGCCCAACACAGCGCTTCGTGGCTCCAGAAGGAGTTCCATGGAAGACGACAGCGTCTGGCCGCATGCGTCTCCCCCACCCATTACCGGACACCCCTCTCGCGTCTAGTGGTCCCAGAGGGAGCTCCACAGAAAGCGGTACCCACAACGCGGAACCTTCGTCAGGCTAATTCTAAGTAGGTTTTGTTCACAAGTTGGCCTCCTAGGGGGGGGAACCCTGATTAAGGCGCCCCCATCCTTTGACCGATCTCCTCCAAGGTGGCCCCCGAGGTTCCCGAGGGTGCCCCAAGACGGCCCAAAGAGGTGCCCAGGAGGGCCCCAAGAGGCCACCAAAAGGCCCCCAAGATGCCCCCACGAGACCCCCAAGAAGCTCCAAGAAACTCCCCGGAGGCACCCAAGACGCCCCAAGAGGCCTCGGTGAGAAGGCCAACCTAATTGATTTTGCAACAGGTTTTGGCCGCCTCTTGGTCTCCTGGGGAGGCGACCCTAATGAAGGAGCCCCCCTCCTTTGATTGATCCATTCCAAGATGGCCCCCGAGGCTAGGGTGCCCCAAGACGGTTCCAAGGTGCCCAGGAGGCCCCAAGAGGCACCCAAGGGGCCGCCAAGATGCCCTCCAGAGGCCCCTAAGAAGCTTCCAGAGGCCCCCCAGAGGCATCCAAGACGCCTCGAGAGGCCTCGGCGAGAAGACCAGCAGTATTGATTTTACTGAGGCTTTGGCTACGTTTTGGCCTCCTGGGGGTGAGCACTGATGTGCTACGCCCCCTCCATTGATCGATCTCCTCCAAGATGGCCCCAAGATTGCCCCCGAGGCTACCTACCACGGGTGCCCCGAGCCGGCCCCGAGAGGTGCCCAGGAGGCCGCAAGAGACCCGCAAGGGGTCGCCAAGATGCCCCCAAGATGCTCCCAAGAGACCCCCAAGACACTCCAAGAGACTCCAACAAGCTCTTGGAAGAAGTCCGAAGAGACTCCGAGAGGCATCCAAGAAGCTTCTGGCCTTTCTGTTCGCCTTCCTCCTTCTCCTCCTCCTCCTCCTCCTCATCGGCCTGTTCCTCCTCCTTCCTCCTTCCTCCTACCCCTCCACTCTCCCTCTTCCTCCTCCTGCTCCTGCGATTTTTCCTTCATCATCCCCCTCTTGGGGTATGACGTCTCACCCAGCCCTGTATTCCATTGTCTGCTCCCCACCATCCCTGAGCAGGGCAACTCGTCTTGGCATCGCTTCTAGACGGGCTTGTGGAGTTACGCGAAACATCTAGAATTTTAAGATCTGGCAATGCAAAATACAATATCATGTCGTGCGAAACGCAACAACACATAAACATGTTGACGACCATGGATGCCCGGCTGTGTCTGGGCCAACGGTGGCCCTGGGTAGACCGGACGGCTCCTGATTCGATGTGCAATCGTATTCAACAGTACGGGCGAGCTCAGCAGTGCTAGCCCCTTCCAAGGCGCCCGCAGGAGTGGGAGGAAGATGGGAAGGAGGACGCAAGGGTGTGCAGCAAACGGCGCAAGGGTGTCGGACAACATCCGAGCATTCTTAGTTAGGGGACAGATAACTGCATAAACATACGATAATGGAAGTCCATGCGGATTTCTTGGATCGGCACTGGACCCCCTCCCCTGGCGCGCGGGGCGTGACAGGGGCGGCGCTGGAGACGCCGCCTGAGAAACCCAGCGCCGACCCCAGAAATCCGCGCGGACCTTCGAACGTTTACGTTTGTCCAGTTCTCCCTTCTTTGACTTATGGCTGGCTCTGATTACGCGTGTGTGTATGACGCTCTTGCGAAACCACCTCTCCGACGCTCCTCCTCCCGCCCCTCGCTTCTGGCACACCCGCCCAGGGCGCCGCAAAGAGCCCGAGGTAGACGCTGCCGTGGAGGAGCTCGCACGCTGGAGAAAGAGGCTCGGGGGGGAAAGCCCCGAGCAGAGGCAGAAGGCATGCAGGATGGATGGCAGAGAGCCCCCGCGCCCGCGGAGAGGAGGCGCGGGCAGGAAGCAAGGGCTCAAATAGGGGATCAGCTACATAATCGATTTAGCTGAACATTGATGTCCGTCGGATCTGCGGAATATTCTAATAATGCTCGTCGATCTGCGAACATTCGACGCATCGTTCATGGATTCGGCGAGAAAATCACTTTTGGGGTAACTCAATTCTGTACTCGATCCCGTAGTCGAAGGACGAGCGGGCAAGGCATATAGCAGGCTGGATGGGGTTTGAACACGATGCTTCCGCCGAGGTCCAGTCTGACAATTCGCTCGGTGAGGCCACTTTTTGTGTTTGGGCGCGGCGCGCGGCGCTTGCGAGGTGCGGCCCTGGAGGCGCCGCGAGCGGGCGGATCCAACGCTGGCCGGGGAAATCTGCGCGGACATCCGGAAATCTATTGGAAACGTCGCCAAGCTGGCGCGCAGCACCACTTTCCGAGAAGCACGCCCTCCCCAAAAAATGAGGTTCCCTCCGTGCACTCTGGCCCCGTGGGGCGAGACCCCTGCGAGGGATCCTTCTGTGCACGCTACCCCTGTCTGCCAGGGCTCCCTCCGCGCAGTCCATCCCCAAGGTAGAGGCAGCGTGTACAGAGGCCTCCCGAATTAAGTCTGAGTAGATACGGTCGGGAGATCGCGCGGCATCGCGGATGCATCGCCAATGCATCGGCGATGCATCGGCGACGCATCGCCGACGTCGGCGTATAGAGCATCGGGCTCCACATCGAGCCGCATCGCCGATGCGTCGGCGACGAAACGCGACTCTCTGACCCCATCTGTCTCGACCCCATCTGGGAGGCTTCGAGAGGCAACGTGTAATAAGTTGGGCCGTCGGCGCTGCATCGTACGACACCGTTGCAACGCCAGCCGTGCACCCATGCCCTCGATAATGACACTTGCGCGCTCCTGGGTTAGGGTGGGCTATCAAGCCCGCATAGGCGATGAATGGGCGATTGAGGGTCGATGCGTCCCCCCTGGGCGTATCCCCCTTTCCTGAGATCCGAAATTGGAAACCGTGCAACGTCGAACTACTCCGACGGTAGGACCCCGCATGGGAAACGATTTAGCTAGCCCCTTCGCCTGTTCCCTTTTTCGCCTGGCGGAAGTTTCCTTCCGCCTTTTCCGTCCGTCCGTCTTCCTCCTCCTCCTTCTCCTATTTGTCCTCCTCCTGTTCATTATCGTCCTATCCGTTGCGTTTATCATCCTCTTCCTCTTCCGCCTCTTCCTCCTCCTCCGCCTCCTCCATTCCTCCCTGTCCTCCTCGTGTTCCTCCCCCTCCTCGGCTTTTGCCTTCCCCCCTCCACCTCCTCATCCTTCCACCCCTCCTCGTCGCCGCCCCGCTCGTTCTCCTCCCGGCAGGGGCGCGCGCGTAGAGTTCTCTCGGCGCCCTCGCCGCCGCGCCTGGCAGGGGCGCGTTCTCCGACGGCGAAATCGCGCCGCCGTCGGGGGCAGCCCAGAAGCCAAGCCGTCGGGGCGACCCCGCGAGCCGCTGGCGCGCGAGACCGAACCGCTGGGGCAATCCCGCGGCCCCCGTGCCGCGCTCCGGAGGGGGGCAGCGCGGAGCCCAACTCTGCCGCGAGCAGCTCCGCCCCTGCCCTGGAGCTCTCTGCTCTGACGTCGACCTCCAAGACCGCCTTCCGCAAGGGTGCCGGCGGCCCTCGCTCCGCGTGCCGCGCGCGCGTGGCGCGGGGGGGCGCGACGTAAAGGTGCAGCCGCCGCTGCTCGTCCGACATGCCCGCGCGACCGGCGCCCTCGCCGCTCGCGCAGTCGACGGCGCCGCCCGTGCGCAGCGTCTGACCCTGCGACAGCGCGGGGGTGAGGTGCGACGCGCGCGTCGCGGTGAACCCCGAGCGGCGCGCGGCGCGTGGCCCCGAGCGCTGCCGCGTGGACTCCTGCTCGCTGGGCCTGAACACGAGCAAGCTCCTTGCACGCGCCCCGGCCTCGCCGTCGTCGGCGCCGTCGGCGCCCTGTTGCAGTGCCTCGGCGACCTCCCGGTAGATCGGGGACTCCTTGAAGCCGTGCGCCTGCAGCCAGATTCCCTGCGGTAGGCAGCGGGGGCGGAAATGCTGGCCTGGCGAGCGCCGCTCGCGCCGCTGCTCGCCCTCGGGGCGGAACTCGAAAGATGCGATGGTGGCCCGTTGCTCCTGCGCGAGCCCCGACATCTTTGTTAGCTCTTCCGGCGCCGCCGCGAAGCGCACTGCCATGCCGACGCGGGCCGGCCGCGCGCTGCGGGTGCCCGCCCGTCTCGCGCACGTTCGGGACGGTCGGAGGGCGCTGGCCCGCGTCGGGATCGACCTGGCCCGCGCTGCACTCGTCCACGGCCTGCAAGAAAACAAGGGGCGCGCCCAGACGCCGCGCGTCGCGACGAGCGCACGTGTTGATCCACTTCGCCAGCGTCTCCCAATAGATGGCCATGCCGCGGCCGAGCCGAAAGTTCCCGCGCTGGCGCCGAAGGTCCAGGACGCCGTGGCTGTCCAAGGCCAACGTCGTTTCCCAGGCGGACCAGACCTCTGGCGGGAGGGGCTTGCCCTCGCGCGTGCAGCCCAAGAACGTGCCTTGCAGTTCGAAAGCGCAGGGGATCTGAAAGAAGACCTTGATGGCGTGCTGAATCTCCACCGTCGGCGGCTCCGCGTACTTGGAGGACCCGTCGTCCAGGAGCTCGTTCACGTCCGTCAGGAGGCCGATGCTGCCCGTGGGCTTCAGCTGCAGGATATCGCCGAGGTGCAACGCGATGTGGGCGCGCCCGACGTGGTGGTGCGGCCGCTTGTGCGTGGACTCCTGCACGTCGTGCGTGTCACTGCGTCCGTGGCACGCGCGAGGTCCAGCGCGGCCGCCACCCGCCTGACACTTCCTCCATATCCAGGCCTCAGGGGCCCAACAATGACGACACTGACAAAATCCCGATGACCCGCTCGGATTAAAAACGTGAGCAGCGGGCCCCACAGGGAGAGGGCTCCCGCCTGAGATTTCCTCGCAATTCTCTCACAAACGAAACTCCCGCCTAATATTTCCTCCGTGTTCAGGCCTCGAGGGCCCAAACATGAAGACGGTTACAAAGTTCCGTTGGCCGGCTCGATGTGTATATATATATATATATATATATATATATATATATATATATATATATATATATATATAACATGATAGGCGGGCACCATAGGGAAATGGCTCCCACCTGGAACTTCGTCGCAATTCACTCACAAACGAGGCACCCGCCTGATACTTTCTCCATATCAAACCTTAGGGGCCCAGAAGTGACGACAGTGAAAAGTTCCGATGGCCCGCTCTGATTAAAAAACATGAGCGGCGGCCGCATAGGGAGGGGGCTCTCGCCTGAGACTTCCTCGCAATTCTCACACAAACGAGGCTCCCGCCTGATACTTCCTCCATCTTCAGGCCCCAGGCGCCCAAAAATGACGACAGTTAGAAGGTTCCGACGACCCGCTCGGATTAAGAACGTGATCGGCGGGCCCCATCGGGAAACCCGCCTGGGACTTCCCCGCAATTCATTCACAGACGAGGCTCTGTTGACGATGGCGTTGTGGTAATGAGGATGATTATGATGAGTAGTACTTGTGGGTGAGTGAGTTGAAGACTGAATGTATGCGAGTGTGTAATTGAAAATGATGCGATGATGCGGATGCTGATGCTGATGCTGATGCTGCTGCTGATGATGCTGATGATGAGGATGATGTGAGTGTGTGAGTGTGTGAGTGTGTGAGTGAGAAGGGAGGGGGTGCTCCTGTTCCTGCACGGGGTGTCTAAAGAAAACAAGAACCCCATTTTGGATGTGGGGAAAAAAAGTCACGACCAAAGCCCTGGACCCAAACTTTCTGGGTCATTTTTCGAGCCGGATCGATCTGGGGGGGGGTGGGGCCCGAAATTGTGCGAAAACGCACGTTGTGAAAAACATGCAACGCCAGGATCTCAAGGTCGATCGCTGCCCCTGAGCATCGCACGCTATCGTCGCGACGCCAGCCGTGCGCTCGTGCAGTTTGCCCCTCGAGTGGCGGTGGCGGCGGGCGGCAGCAGGCCGCGGCGGCACGATTTGGCCGCGGGCGGGCGTCCGCTGTGGCCCGCGAGGCACGACTTCACCGGGGAGCAGCAGCAGCACCTCTCGAGGCCCGCGGCGATCCACCTCCCCGCGCTCGGGGGGGGGGTGCGACGGGGGAGGGCAGGGGGTTGGGCATAGGGAAGGGAGGGGCGGAGGAAAGGGAGGGGTGGGGAGGAGGGGGGGAGGGGGGAAGGAGGGGGCGGAGAAGGGAGGGTGAGGGAGGAGCAGCAGGGGAAGAGGGAGGGTGAGGGAGGAGCAGCAGTGGGGAGGAGAAAGGGGATGAGGGGGGAGGGGAAAAGGGGATGGGGAAGGGGTGGAGGGTAAGAAACCGTTTCGGTATGAACGTCCGTTACCCCCAGGGGGGCTGCAACGGTAACGAGGGGGCGGCGGTGACGCACATGCAAATTCGGATGCGCGTCATCGACGACGGCGACGACGCCTACGACAACGCCCACGACGAACGACGACGTCGTCGTCTGGAAGCCTCCGAAGTTTTCTTTGAAGGCCCCCAGAGGTCGCTAGCTACCAATCTCTTTGGAAACCTTCGGATATCCAAAGCAGAACCACAGCATCCGCGCTACGCTACAAGCGCTACAGCGTGCCTGCAGTCACCAGCAGCGCGCCTGTGAGCACCAAGTAGCCACGAGGGCCAACAAAGGTCCCCATGGCCCCCCCCCGCCGCACTGTGCCTGTTAGCGTTAGGTCGGGCGTGTCCTCCTACAGG